CCTGCTGAATAATAATAATGCAGGCTTCCCTCAGACTGCCCTACTAACTTATGTCTAGAGATGAGAGAGATGTTCATTTCTCTGTTCATTCATTTTTGGCTTCATTGCTGAGACTAAAATAAGAGAGCCAAATGTAAAACTGTGATGTGGCTATCTGCATAGTAGGAACTAGACTGAAACTATCAGCTCATTTCACACAGGCTCCTAAAGGCCGTGTCTAGACTACAACTCTCTGTCGACAGAGAGATGTAGATTAGGCACATCAAAATTGCTAATGAAGCAGGGATTTAAATATCTTGTACTTCATTAGCATAAACATAGCCACCGCTTTTTTCGACACGGAGCTTTTTTGAAAAAAAATGGCAGTCTAGATGGGGATCTGTCGAAAAATAAGCCCTTTTTCGACAGATCCTGTAAACCTCATTTTTTGAGGAATTCAGGATCTGTTGAAAAAGGGTTTATTTTTTGACAGATCCCCATCTAGACTGCCAGTTTTTTTTTTTTTTCGAAAAAGCTCCATGTCTGAAAAAAGCGGCAGCCATCTTTATGCTAATGAAGCGCAGGCTATTTAAATCCCTGCTTCGTTAGTAATTTTGACATGCCTAATCTACATCTCTGCCGACAGAGAGGTGTAGTCTAGACACAGCCAAACTGCCGCCAGATGGTAACAACATTTGATCATTACTCAACTAGATCATATTCCGAATATTGACTTAAAGGTGCACTATTTGATTACCAATCCCTTGAGTTATCTAGTCCCCACATATTTCAGTTGGAAATAATCTGCAATATGTAATGATGACCTATGTGAGATTATAAAGACTGCGACACACTATATCATGTAAAATTTAAAGGATTTAACATGACAGATACTCCAGGAATAAAGATAATTTGGAATGCAGATTAGTTTGCTTCTTTAGTATTTCCAAAATCGTTATATTTATTTACTGCATCTCTTTGGACAGAAGATATGAAACTTCAGTACTTTGGGAAAAGCTTAAATTCTTGCATTTTATAAATTCAAATCATGCAGCTGTCCAAAGCTTTAGCAAGAAAGAGCCCAAATTCACTTATGCTTATTCTATGTTGCAGTTCAAAGATAGCAGACTTAACACAGATGTTTGTCTTCTACTTCTTTTTGGACTGTATTTCGTCTGGGGAACAAGTTGTATTCTTTTTAAAAGAAAGATTTTGGCCATGTTCCTTGTAACTGCATCACAAGTTAGAGAACATGTAAACTTTTTCTCAATGTCATTTGGCCAGATTGGCATTGTCTCATTTACAAATTATGACTGGTGTATTTACAGTGGCGTTCACAGAGATCAAAATTCTGCTTTCACAGTGGCACAAATCCAGAATAACTTCTCTGCAGATGGAGTTACTCCAGATTTACTTAAGTGTCACTAGTAATAGAATCTGGCGCAGACTTCAGGATGTTCAGGGTAATTAATTTTCTTTACATTTCTGAGATGGGCCCCTCGCTGCACACCGTGGAGCCAGATATAGGTTTCAAACACCCCAAAGGATAGAGATGTTCAGCTCTGATTTTTGGTATTGCCCATTTTAAAGCTTTCTAAATTATGGTTAGGAGACAGTTTTGAAACTTTCTCTCTTCAGACACACACACACACACACAATCTGGAGCAATCTGAGGTTTTGTTTCAAATCTCTATTTTAATTATTGGGTTTGTTTCTGATAATACAAATGTTGAATAATAAAACCATATTCGTATTCACCAACAAAATTTTTGGTCATCCCCCCAGGCACTGGTAATTCTATATCACTTAATATATATTGTGGTATGGCATGGGATACAGTGTCCAAAGAAACATTCCAGTTAGCCAGTGGCTGGGTTTTTTCAGTTATGTCACCTGTGTAGCAACACCTGAGGATACAGATATGAAGCTTCATAACAAAAAGAAAAAAAAACACAAAACAAAGCTGCTATGTCCATTATGGGTAGAGAACAGGGAAGAGTTAGCAGGGGAAGGAAAACAAATACAGGTAGGGTCACAAGCGAGGTAGCAATGGCAGGCAAGCAGAGGGAAGCACTGAGGACAAACAAATCATAGATTTATACAGCCTATTCTTCTGCAGCTGTTTGTGGCCTGCAAGCTACTGAAGAAGTGGGCTGTGTCCTCAAAAGCTCATGATACTATCAACATATTTTGTTAGTCTTTAAGGTGCTGCAAAACTATTTGTTGTTTTTTAAGTTTTTCCAGTTACAGACTAACTTGGCTATCCCTCTGAAGCTTTTTAACCAACCAGTTAGAGTAAAAGCTAAACTGGGAGTCACTGTTGATGACCAAATATTCAAAGTGGAGAATATCTACCATAGTAGGCAGGTAGAAGATAGTTTTGGAAAGGATCAGAAAGTGCTTATATGGAAGGGTTTGGGTCATGGTGGTGCAAAACAAAAATCTATGCCCACTCATTCCTTTTCCTTTCCTCGGTCATATTGCATACCTCCCTTTTCCTTTTTTGCTTGTATGTGCTGAACACGCTAGCCTGGTACAACATGGAACATATGCACCTGCTCTGTTTTGTCAGTAGTTCAGCTGAAGTCAAGGCTTCACATGTTAAGCATGCACTCAAGAATTTTGCTGGATCATACCAGTCTTGCCGGGCCAAGCCAACAGCCAGCTGCTCAGCAGCTTATTCAAGAGGACGAAAATACTGTTTTTGTAAAACCAACCAGGACCTTGAGACAGACCCTGAAAACATCCTAAATGAACATTATTTTGAGAACTGCCTAAGAACCCCAGTTGCGGACCAGAACCTTTCAGGTATCTAAAAGGGTGTCACAAGGAGGAGGGAGAAAACTTGTTCTTCTTGGCCTCTGAGGGTAGAACAAGAAGCAATGGGCTTAAACTGCAGCAAGGGATGTTTAGGTTGGACATTAGAAAAAGCTCCTAACTGGCAGGGCAGTCAAACACTGGAATAAATTGCTTAGACTGGTTGTGGAATCTCCATCTCTGGAGATATTTAAGAGTAGTTTAGATAAATGTCTGTCTGGGATGGTCTAGACAGTATTGGGTCCTGCCATGAGGGCAGGTGATTGGACTTGGTGACCTCTCAAGGTCCCTTCCAGTCCTAGTATTCTACGATTCTAAGTGCTGTACATACACAGAAAACAAAGTTGATGCAACACTCCTGATATTCAGGGAAAACAGAACAGTTTGAACATCCAAAATTAACTTTCCTAATAGAAAGCAAGTTGGAGATGGCTTTTAAGCACACAGACACAGAGAGCACAATGGGTTCAAATAGTCCACAGATCTTTAAAAAGACCAATACCACAATCAAATAGTTCAGAAATACAACATACAGGTACTTAGGAAAAGGCAAACAAATGGGTTAAGAACTGCATTTATGGAGGCGCAGAATAATGAGTTGAAGAAGCATTCATTTTTATGTTGGTAGCTCTTCATAAGGTACCGAGCAGAGAAATGCATCTACAGTAGCTAATCTGGAAAGCAGAAGTTTAAGCATGTTTTTTAAAGAGCAGTTCTTATAAACAGGACGGAAATAATGAGCTTAAAATTAGTTCATTGACATAAAGGATACAGATTTGAATTGAATAGTTTATACTTACATTTATACTTTCTTAGGCAGTTTTTAACCGCTATGTACTTGTGTCTTTACTGAGGTCTACATTTTAATGTAAACACAGACCTCTTTTTTTTTAATAGGGTCATCATTCTATGCAAAATAATAGTTACCTGTATGCCAAACTAACCATCCATCCTTTATTAGTTTGTGTAGGGATTCCGTTTACAACTCTCAAATGTTTTGTTGAGGCACAAGAAATGACAGTATCTGAAAGCAGGTGCAGAGGTCACATTTTACTAAAAACAATGGTAGGAAATCTGTACAGTTGCACATAAGGACCACAGAAAAGTCAATTTTAAATAAACATTTTTTCTCACTGCTACTACAAGAAATCATAATTACTTCAATTGAAGTGGTATCAGGCCATTAAACATTTAGGCAGGCTGTTGGCATTAATATAATAAATCGTGTTATTATTCAGATTGTTATAATTATATGCTAATACTGAAAAATAGAATCATACACTAGTTGGAAAGGTGAGTTTTCTGTTACACATACACAGATACACTCAAAAGAAAATGGAACTATCATAATGAAACACACAGTATATATGTAACAATTACTTACGGTCTAAATTGGTTGTGGTAGGAGTTGTATCACCTTCACCTAGCAGACACACAAGACGTCCATAACAGTGAAAAATAAAAGAAAGTCTAAAATTAAGAGGAGTCATAACAGAAAAATAAATGGTAGGCTGTTGCTGATTTTAATAGCTCTCACAGATTAAGTCTTAAATAGATTTTGGAAAAGGCCTCAAAGGCACAGAGGCAAATGAAGGGGTAGAATTTTATTTCCGAAAAAAAAATATCAACATTTTAAAATGTTTATTTCACACTTTTCCTCTTGGGTTAATTTTGAATACATTTGAACTACATGGACATTTACCAGTGCACACATATGGTTTCACATATGCATCGGCCAATACTAACAAATAAGGAGGATACTATTAAATGGAGCTACTTGCCCAAATTCAAATTACTTTTAAAGGAAATCGAGCTGTCTTCCTAACTTAGACCTTTGGAAAATCTGAACCTTATTTATATGTTGATACTAGGAAACATTTATCTGAAGTCAAATTTGTTATTTGGAGATCAATTCTATAATCCAATTGCATTTATTAAAACTGCTTAAACTTTGTCTAAGTTAGAAGAATTTTCACCTCTATCTCTGAGAGAATAATTAATTAATTGATAATTAATTAAAATAAATTACTATTAGCACATAGCCCACCAGTGCTTGCTGTAAACAGTCCAAAATTACTGATAATATCATCACACACAAAATAGATTTGACATTTGCTGAACTATTTATTTTTGGCTACACTGTCAAAACAAAACAAAACAAAACAAAACAAAACAAAACAAAACAAAACAAAACAAAACAAAGGTTTTGTTTACTTTCAACAGATACAAAACAAGGTTTGTTTACTTTCAACAGATACAAAAATACCTGAATCAGAGGATCTCTCTCTGAGAGTTGGTCAACACCTAAAACTTAGGTCAACTTAGCTGTATCTCTTGAGGGTAATGTACATCCCTGAGAGACAAAGCTGAGTCAATCTTAGCTCCAGTAGATACCATAAGGTCAATGGAAGAATTCTTCCATCATAGAATCATAGGGTTGGAAGAGACCTCAAGAGGTCATCGAGTCCAAACCCCAACCTAAAACAGGATCAACCCAAACTAAATCATCCCAGACAGGGCTTTGTCAAACCAGGACTTAAAAACCTATAGGGATAGAGATTCCACCACCTGCCTAGGTAACCCATTCCAGTGCTTCACCACCCTCCTAGTAAAAAACAGATTTTCCTAACATCCAACCTACACCTCTCCCATTGCAACTGGAATATCAAGCCAACCACTGCCTCTCAAGGCACCAAAACAATGGAAAACCCTTTTTCCTTTGCTGTAGTAAGTATCTATACTACAAATGTGTAGCTGTATAGATACAGCTATATTTCAGTAGCACTTGTAGCATGTACATAGCCTGAACATGCTTACAGTTTTAGGGTCTCACAAATTTGCTGCCAATTACTCTTCTGACTTTATTCCTAAATCCTAGAGAGCATAGGAACACAACAGCCTATTTTACTGTTTAAATGTTCTCCCAGGTTCTGAAACATTTTTGGTTTTAAGATACAAATAGAAAATAAATATCTTTCAAACTTAAATGTGAATTCCAAATATCTCATCATGAACTCTCTCCCCCACTAAACCTCCATTCATTTTTTAAAATCCCTTTTGTTTATGTTTATTTACTCCATTTTAACATATGATTTTATTTATATATATTATGTAGTGTTATCACACATATATTGTGGTTTTAGATGTAAAAATTCATTCATAGAAAAACACACAGAAATAAAAGGCAATGAATTTATACTTTCTTCCTTCATATTGAAAATTATCTACTGTAACAATTAAGTATAATGGTGAAGAACCTCTTTGTACACTGAAACAAATATTTCTTTAAGATTTGTTTCCTTAGAGCACTTGAGTTATTTAAACAACACTGTAGAAATATGGGGAAATTATGATATCAAGGTACTTTATGAACCTCCTTTCTCCCAGCATCTGGACTCAATGCATTTATCCACCCAACACCCTTTGAGTTAGTCAAATGCTATTAACCCTTTACAGAAGGGTAACTGAAGCACTGAGAGGCTAAGGGTACGACTACACTGCATGGCTATTTTGGGATACCTCTTGTGTCCTGAAATAGTTACCCCCATGTCTTAACAAACTACATACTATTTTGAAATATTTTTCAAAATAATGGGATGCTATTTCAGCATCCCTGTAACCCTCGTTCCATGAGGGTTAAGGGATGTCTTGAAATAGTGTGTTATTTCGAAATTTGGTGCTATGTATACATGCCAAATTTCAAAATAAACTATTTTGAAATAGAATAAAAATAAAATACACAATTTGAGTATCTTATTTCGAGTTTAGAGTGCTATGTAGACTTAGAGTACTAGTTTAGAGTGCTGTGTAGAGTGCTGTGCACCCTTAGGCTACGTCTAGACTACAAGCCTCATTTGAAAGATAGCATCTAGACTATAAGCAGATTTTTCAAAAAAGTGAGCCACTTTTTTGAAAGATAGTGTAGACACTCTTTTGAAAAAGCACAGTTTGCATTCAATAGAATCTTTTTTTGAAAGAGTACTTCCGAAAAAAGGCATCGTTCCTCGTAAAATGAGGTTTACCACGATCCCAAAAACTGCCGTGTTGTTTCAATTTACTTTTGAAAGAACGCAGCTGCAGTCTAGACGCAAGTGAAGTTTTTTTTTAAAAGAAGGCAGCTTTTTTTGAAAAAATCCTGTAGTCTTGACGCACCCTCAGTGATTTGCCCAACATCACGTGGGAAGTGTGAGGCAGACAAAAAAGGTAACTAAACCTGGGTCCCATGAGTCCCAGGCTAATATCCTTCACCCTGAATCATCACTCTTCCTTTCCTTGCCTCACTATCACCAGTAACCATACTGAGCAGGATTCTTTGTCTGCTATAGCCCTGTTATCCTGCTGTGGCAGCATAAATAAGCCTCAGAGCCAGTTAAGAGAGAATGTCCCTGGGACAAGCTTTGCACAAGGCTGTTCTCCTCCCCATTGCCCCCCAAGTTATGAACAAATTATTCATGATAAGAGTTTAAGTTTTGTGGTGCCACATGTAGCAGCTGGAGCATAGACAAATGTATATGACAACAAAATATAGCAAATATTATACAGCTGACAGTAATTCCGAAGTTGCAAGGCATCTTAAGTGCTTACATCGAGAAATTGGGCAGTAGTCCCAGGGAACGAGAGGATTGCTCGTGTAGCACCAAGGACCATGAACATCATCATCGGGATTGCGGCAGTAGTTTTTCTTCAGTTTGCTAATGTCTAGTTCCATGAATACTGGTATGTGCCTACAGGAAAAAAAACAACATGCTACTAATAAGTATGTTCATGCTACCAATAAACATGTTCCTATGAACATTCATTCCTCATTTTAAATGAATTCACATTGACTATATTCAAGCATATGGATGTAGGAAAGCCTATGGAGTTACTCTGTAGATTTCAAGGGCTGGCAGGAAAATTAATTTCCTCAGCTTGACATGAAGAAACTTAGCACAAATCCCTGTGTTCAGGCCATGTGCTCAATGGGAGGACTGGGGTCATATTAAAGAGCAAATCCTAGTTCCTTTCAATTGGGGGAGAGTGGCTGATGAATCTGGATTCCACGTTCCACACCAGGGATCAGAAAGTAGCCCAAGAATCCACCCAGATGTCTATAAGACTCATTCAGAGTATGCAGGTGTAACTCACATGTGTACTAGGTATGGTATTGCCTCACCTAGTGGCACTTAGACCACTTACAGGGAGGAAAAATGAGTGCACTCTATAGCCATCGCTGAGAGCCAGTTAGCTTTTAGCTCAGGCTATAGAGGCTCATGCCCTAAGCTCCACAGGTCTCAGATTTGATTCCGCCTGTTGGCCTTACACAGGCACGCACACACAAACACATGTATAACAACAGGACTGCTCCTCCATCTAACCTGCAGAGATTTTCTATTTATGAGGATGAGAGTGGGAAGCACAAGCATACTAAGTTCATTAGCCAATCCAAGCAGACAGTTTATAAATTCTGATTAGAATAGACACATTTATACATTCAGAGCATGACAATTCCCTTCACTATAATTGGTTAATAATGGCAGTTGGCAAAAGTATATAGCAATTCATGTCATGGACAGTGAGAAATCACCAGACAGTGACTACACAAACTAAACACACAGTACAAATCAGAGAGCAGTGACTTGCATAGCTGAGGTAGAACAGTTTCATTAGGGGCCAGGTCCTAAACTGCAGCAAGGGAGGTTTAGGTTGGACATTAGGAAAAACTTCTTAACTGTCAGGGTAGTTAAACACAGGAATAAGTTGCCTGGGAAGGTTATGTAACCTCCATCTCTGGAGATATTTAAGAACAGGTTAGACAGATATCTATCAGGGATGGTCTAGAGATGGTGCTTGGTTCTGTCATGTGGCAGGGAACTGTACTCGATGACCTCTCGAGGTCCCTTCCAGCTCTAGTGTTCTACGATTCTGTCCTTGCACTCTGCATGGCTGAGTTTCATTTGAGTGGGCTCACCAACAGCCATTCTGAGTCCCAAGGCAGAACAGTAAATGCCCCCCCCCTCCAAGCATGCACAAGCTACGCCTACACGGACATAGTCCACCTGACATTTAGGTGGTGCTGCACTTGCACTGGCTGGTGCCCAGTGAGCTGCCAGCTGCACTGCTGGGTACTCTCTTCTGGCACAGGAAGGGCCTCCACATGCCCACCCAGCTGCCTTGACGCCACCTGTACTAGCCCATGCGTGCATAGAAGCCCTGTGGCCCACTTGCCTCCTTTGCCCTCGCCTGTCGGCAGGCTTGCATTTGCAATTAACTTCGTAAGGAGGACGTGGCATCTTTAAGGCATCTGCCCTTTCTGCGGAGGGAGCTATCTGGTGCTCCTTTCAGAGCAAACTGAGTTGGTGCTGAGAATACAGTTGAGATATGGAGAGCCCAGAGAGCTCTTCTTGCTTGGAACCTTTCTTGGGTTGTTTATCAATTTTCAGCTTAAAATCCAACTGAAACTATGTTGAACTGAGTTGCAATTTCTCCCAGCTTCCCATTGAAGTCAATGGGACTTGAGGATGTTGAGCAGAGAGCACTCAACTAGTCACAATGTGTCATCCATAGGGAGCAATTATGCTGCATTCCTCACTCTCCTCCCCCACAACTTTAAAGGGCAGAGATGGGAAAATCCCTAGCATTTAGTGTGCTAAGAAATCCCAAAGTCTATAATTAGTGCCTGAACAAAGACACATTGTATAATGTACTTAAATGTAGAAGGAAATTATACTGGGAACTCAAGGATGTTTTGAAGTGTTTGCAGAAGAAAAAGAGGTGACAATTATAGGTGCTGTTTGTGCAGGACTCACTGTACATCCTCTTTGTGTCTTGTATCTACATACCTCCTTAAATCCTCAATATTCTCATTCCACATGGAGCAAGTTAGCCCAGATCTTGTCTTAGCCAAATTTCCCATGTAATTTTTGCCATTACCACGATAGCAATCTGGAGAAAGAATATTGAGAAAAAGAAATGTTGTTGGAACTTGTGCAATAATGAAAGAAAAATTGTTCTTTTACAGCAAGCATCCAAATAATTAAAGATAATCAAGTGCTATATTTAGCAGACACTATCCCAGATATAGCAAACATAACTGAAACCAGACAACAAATTAATGAGAGAAAGTGAACCTTTCTGAATTTAAATGGATATATCCCCTTCTCAGGGCCTAAAGACTTAACTACAACATGCAATAACTTGCTTTTACTGCGCCTTTCCTAGATAAACTGAGACCTTTTCAGTTTAAATATAATTTGCTTACAGTTAACAGGGTCACTGCAAATTATTCTACTTCTAAAAGCCGCCAGGATATGTTATGCTCTTTTTAAAAACATCCAGATGTCCTCAACTGAATGGAGAACAAAACTTTCTGAACTCATTAACAGAGGTTCTGGATTTTGGCAGCAATAGATAACACTGAAGTTTTTCTGTACTCTGGTATGAACAAGGAGTAGCACACCTTCAACTTAAATACAATTTAGAAACATGGCTTGATAATGCATCATACATTAAGATCATTTCATGATGTGCTGTCAAACATTTAGGAGTAAAAATAAGAAAGACTTTATATATTAAATGATTAATTTAAATGGTCAACAATGGGGCTGCGCCCCCATCTCACTATAATTGCCAACCCCCTTCTCTAGGGATCCCTCACCAGGCCTTGTGCTTCCCTCCCCCACCCCAGTTGCCGGGGAGAAGAGGCCTGCTCCAAGGCCTTGCCGGGCCCTGCACTTCCCCCCCTCACCACCGAGGGGGGCACTTCCAGGCTGCTGGTGGGAGAGTGAAGAGGGAGGCTGTGGTGTGGTAGCCAATCAATGGGGAAAAAGGAGAGTGAAGGAGGTGCTGCAGGATGCAGAGTAATATGATGACATCATTCTGTCATTACACAGGAAAAGTTTTTTTATATATAGAGAGAGATGTTCTAATTCTAGACAGACCCGCCCCCTCCCCCCCACACCACACTCCATGGAGATACACACACACACATCTTTATTTTTAACAAACACAAAAAGAGAAGGCTAAATTTAATCCTCATAATGCAAAAAATTGTCAAGCCCCTTAACCCAGCTAAAATAAATGGAATAAATCCGAAATCTTTTCTGATGAGTTAATATTATCTGGATGTAGGTACTAAAATAGAGTCAAAGCCTGAGCATTCTCTATAAGATGCTGAATACAGTCAACTCCCTTTGATAACAATGCACACCTTGCAAGATCAAATTCACGTACAACAGAGCTACTGTGAAAATATTTATAAAACTCCATGAAGCGCTAAACATCCAGTTTAGAATACTTTTCTGATTCTGTATAAAATTCAGGCTGTTTGCAATGAGTTGCATATAATTGTCTAAGTCCATTTGTCAGTGGTCAGGATTCCACATTAGAACAGCCAGCCAAACTTACATAACATTTGGTAGTTTTGACAATTTCAGTAGAGAGATCAAAACAGAGAATGATCTAGAGATGATCCCTCCATCTCAAAGGAGGAAACACAATGAGCTAGATCTTCAACTGGTGTAAAATACACAGTTCCTTGCTTGCAATAGAACTGTACTGAGTTAGTTAAGTAGAGGACATGATGCAATAGGGCATCAGGTGAGGGAACACTTGTTATTGCTTTCTTTTACCTGAATAGAGGGACCAAGACAGATTCAGATTCCATTTACACCATTATAAATCCAATGAATTTGAAATGAAGCCCGTGGAGTCACTCTGGATTGCATAGGTGTAACAAATCAGAATCTGTTATTTCAGTCTCCACGAAAGTCAGTCTGGCACCTTGAACTTAAAATATTTTATCTCCTTGATATTAGTTACCTTGTTCACTTAACACATCACATTTAGGTATTTGGGAGCAATAACCAATCCGGATGTTTGGGTCAGTAGTAAAACACCAAGGTGACTCGGATCCATCTGGATTTCGGCAGTAGTTCTCTCTTAAATCCCTGTAAAAATAAATATGCTATTTTACATTAGGCATAACCTAAAACTGCTGTGTTCTACTGCTTTTCTATTACAAGTTAACAATAATAGAGGCTCTTTGAGGTCTATATGTTATTGATCAATATTTAGTGCAGAGAGATCAGTCTGAGACAATAAGAAAATAGGGACTAATAAAATAAGTTAATTGTAAATGGAGTGTGGTAATAAGGGAATCATCTCCAGTAGATCTTTGTTTTGGCTAGCTATAGGATTTCACTTCAAGTATAATAATATTTTAAATATAGTATATTTCCATATGGGAACCTCCACCATTTTTTTCAAAGCTTTCTCTGATTACAAAATTCTTGCATGGCATCAGATACACCTGAAACCTATTAAAAGCACTTTTAAAAAATGCAAACCATACTATAGCATTAAAAATTCTCAATACTGTGAATGGCTCTGTAGAGCATACAGAAATGGTGTCCTGTAGTTTCTCAGTGATTTAATTAGGAAACTGAATATGAGTATATGAAAAAATTGTGTTGAAATCTTACACAGGTGTTACCTTTTGAATAAAAGTTTAACCACAAGGGACTCTCTCTTTAAAAATCTCTCACACTTGAATTAAATAGCCAAACTCCTCAAATGTAAGTTTTGTTCTCCATTCTCCTGAAAGATGTCCTCATGTTCTTTGAAATTTTACATTCCACTGTATTTTTCAATTTGCCACAGTCATTGATAACTTACAGTAGAATAAAATAGGCATGATCCCATAACCATTATTCACATGGGTTTTCCTCAGTCATACAAGCAGTTTCATGGACTTTATTAGGGCTACTAGCATAATTAATATTTACTCATATGAGGAAAGACTGCACATCAGATCCTTTATTGTTTTCAGGGTGAGCTGTTCCAAAGCTACATTTTTACAAGAGATTGAAAGAACTGTACATGGAGCCTGCTTTTAATATATTAGTGACTCAAAGACTCAATCCTTGTTTGGCTAAGAAAACACGGCAGGAACAGCCCCCAAGACTGTCTTTCAGGTAGACTCAGGAAGGTCCTGCTCAACCATCTCTGAGATTTGTACAGGCGATTCAGGGACAATACTAATTCTGAAGTCAACAGGAATTCAAAAGGTTAACATGTGAGTGATTTTAACCCAATATTCTTACCCAGGGAGCAAATACTTTTCAGCTCTGCAGCTATGTCCAAGTGACTCTAAAGTAACATAACATGCATTATTAGACAAACTTGATAATGCTCCAGGTCAATGAAGGGACTGACGCAGCAAAGGTAAGTGTCTTGCCCAAAATCACAGAGCAAGTGCCTCTCAGAGCCAAGGTTAGAACTCGGGCTAATGAGGGGAAAACAGAATTTACAAGAAGGCAAAATAAAAAAAAGCTAACTCCATAAAAATATTATAAGTGTCAACTATCCACAATGAGATTGTTTAGATAAAAAAGGGGGAAAACACATTAGGACTTAGTTATATCTGAATATCAAAACTACAGATAAACAATGTTCTCCCTCCAAAAAACAGTGATGGCATAATAATGGGATTTAGGCCACAGTATTATAAACACACATGTGTCTGACTTTGAAGTCAATCAGTCTACTTCATGTGGCCAAAATTAAGCTCATGGGAGTTTTCAGAATAAGGGTCTTCAGTGTGTAAAAACAAAGACAGCCTTGAACCAATTTATCAAGTGACCCATAATAACCCATAATTTTTGTTTTCAAAGAGAAATAATTATTTATAGCGCACACTTGCAATATTTGAATGTTCCTATGGCAGAAATAACAATGAACATGTCAGTATTGGAGTAATGATGGTGATGACTGTATTAAAAAAAGTAACAACCGGTCATTTAATACCCTTTGGTGATAGGAATGTCTAAATTGCAGGAACTGATCTCTGCCCTGTAATCTGTGACACCTGCATGTGCTACTCACTTGCACTTGAAATTTTCTGGAATGATGTTGTGCTGGTGAGGAAACTGGGAGTCCCAGTGCTGGCACTGGACTCCACTCCATATTGTGTTCACGGTGCCTCGGTAGCCCTCGCCTTGCCCCTTGACACACTCTGTTGTTTCCACTGCAGTATCAGTGATGTTCACAATGGTCTGAGCTATAAATGAAAAGAAAAGGAGCTGGTTTGCTTTCCTAAGAGTGAGTCAGGGCTAAGTGCACTGAAATTCATACCTTATAGCTATTCAAATCTGGGCCCTCTGCCTACATTGTCAGTGATGGTCAAGTCTAGCAACTCTAAAACAAATTAACTGTTCATTTAAACTTTTACAAGACCAGTGAGATTCTCTGCAACTGCAGGAACCATGCTAGCACATTTGCCTTCAGGAACAGAGCATAACATCTCTGAAATATATATGCTTTCCTATGTAAATCTTGCTGCATAGAGAGATGCCAAGCTTCTTCCTACACCAGTCAATGTCAGAGCGATATTCTTAGCTATTATAATCCCAATCCAGAAAGTATTTACACACATTCTTAATTTTACACAATTCAGTAGCCCACATGTTTAAGTGAAGCATATGCATAAATGTTGGCAGGATTCAGACTCTAATTATTTTTTTCAAAGCACCCAAAAGACCAGTGTTGGATAAGTAAGCATTCACTTGAAAGCCTCTTTTTATTTTTTGTAATTGAAAAGTTTATGGGACAGATGTGGACAGCACACATTTACTAAGTAATGAAATCTAAACACACTACAGTACTATCAGTGTCTTCTAAATGCCCCAAAACCACCTTTGAATAATTTTTCAAGAGTCATTTTGGATCTGTTGCTAATTGGTATTTTTTCATAGTCTGGTGAGTAATTTTATAAATTAATTTATCAGCTATAGTTATCAACTGTAAATAAATTAATAAACAGTCTCTAAATTGACTCTGCCATTTTCCACCAATTACAATAATATAGATGTGTTTTATTAATACTGTAATTATCTCTTAGTGCTTCAGTAATTCAAGCTAGCTTGGCTAATTTGTGAAGGGAACAGATCTTAGGAAAACTAAATGTTATAACATAGGGTTTCTGTAGGATTTATTTTCAAAGATCCCATTAACTTCAATCAATAACATCAAGATGAAAAGTGGTATTATATATATTTCTATCTCCATCTCTATCTCTATCAATATACCTATTCTAGAACTCTAAATTTCTTTTATTCACGTTGGATGCTTTTACCTACAGCTAGCCAAAAGAGTTGGCTGTCTTCCCTTCTCAAGGCAGTCCATCTGCAAAAGTTGCTCCTCTGCTCTTAGGTTGTGATTCCAAGCTCATTTCAAAGTCAAAAGGCCATAGTCATAACCCCCACATATAGGGGTTCTGCAAGCTGGTAAAGGCACTCTTTAGGATGGATTCACTAAAGCAAATTACAGCACTAGTTGTTTTTAACTTTTCAATTAAAAAAATACTTGTATTGATTTACCTCTATTCCCAGACTAAGCTCAACAGGCCACCCAGCTAGTCTGGACTGGGAGGAGAACACAACCAAAGAGAGGGCCACTCAGCTCAGAGGGTACGTCTAAACTACAGGCTTTTGTCGACAGAAGTTTCGTTGACAGATACTGTCGACAAAGCTTCTGTCGACAAGAGCATCTAGACTACATCCAGTTCTGTCGACAAAGCAAGCCGCTTTGTCAACATTACATTGTAGACTCAAAGGACAGTGTAGATGCAATAGCACCTTCTGTCGATAGAACTCTGTCGACAAAAGGCGTTATTCCTCGTAGAATGAGATTTACAGCTGTCGACAAAACTGTTGAGTACTGTCGATGTTATGTCGACAGAACTCAGCAGCAGTGTAGACGCAGGTATAGTTTTGTTGACAAAAGTCAACTTTTGTCGACATAACCATATAGTCTAGACATACCCAGAAAGTTTTGAAAAAGTTCACCCCCTGACTGTTACTCTGCACCCCCCTATGGGGGCACTCCCCACAGTTTGAATACTTCTAATTTGCAGTCACACAGCAGAAACGAATCATACACCAATGCTGCTGCACTTTTAATTGAAAGGAGATGAAACTTGATTTGATTGTTAAATCTTTCTAAATGAAACACATTGTTGACCATTATAAGATTTTTCTCCTCTACGCCCGATGACAGCTCACGTACCCCAAAGAGTATGCATTTCCCTGTTTGAAACCATTGCACTAAAGCGTCCGTCAGCATTTAATGAAAAAAACCCCATAGATACCTGATTTTTTTCAGGTTTCAAAGATTAAAAAAAAGTAGAGATTTTTTGTTGTAAAATTATACAGATTAGAACATTGTTTGATAGTGTCAGATTAGTAATGTGAAATAGAATCAGGCAATTTATCAAAAGAACTTTTGTATTGTGGATGCATCTTTTATATATCCACATTATAGTTTACTTAAGGAAAATTTAGTTTCAAATGTGGAACTCCCACTGATGTCAGAGGAAGATCAAAGGAAGACTGCGTACCCAATGCAGAGAGCCCAGCTTCATCACAACATCAAGAGCAAAGTGGTTGGGCTCATTAATGGAGATCACTTGTTTTTAAAAGGGCTGGTACTGGGATTGCATTTCATCAAGACTCTAACATAATCTTGACTGTTGGAGGAGGAGGCGTCATTCCTTGTGTTTGGAAAAGTTCCTCTAGAATAGGTCTTTAGGGATCAGACTGTTAAGAGTTACAGTGATGGTACGTTTACGTGACTACCAAAACCAGATGTGACTCTTCAGAGCACTGACATATCAGCTTGGGAAATGCCAAAGGATAAACATTTATAAATGTTGCATTTATAAAAATGGTCAGATATGATAACTTACACAATTTTTAGTAATAAAATCTCCACTAGTAGAAAAAGTATATGAATGTGTTACAACAGAGACTGACCATGTATATTTTATTGAATACTGAAAGTCAATGTGGGCAGAGGCAGGTTAGGGGTTTGTGGGGCCCTGGATCAGAACAAGGGGGGCCTCCTTCCCACTCCTTTGGCCTGTAGTCCCCCTTTGCTTCCCTCATGGCATTCTTTCCAGGAATTGGGGTCAAGGCACAGGGACTTGCCCTGCTCTACCTGCCTGGTGGTTTTGCTGGAGAGCAAGGTTAGGGCAGATGGGGCTTCCCCCTCTTCCCAACAGGAGTGCAGATGGACCAAGCCCCTGTACCCTGACCTTGCTACCTGGAAGGAGTCAGTGGGAGAAGCAGGTGGACCAGGTCAGGGCACAGGGGCATACATTTTTTTGGAAGCTCCAAATTGCCCATGGCACCTGGACATGGCCCTTGCTGCCCAGAGGTTAATCCGCCAGTGGTTGTTGACATCACTACTGAATAAAAAATAAATATTAAAGGAACAAGAGAGTCAATTGCTTTTTGCAATCTTCAATATAGGGTATAGACTCAATTTTTAATATTTCAGACAAAAACTAGGTCCAAACTAGATGAAGTCTTTTGGATTGATAGCTTCCCAGTTGATCTGAGAGACCAAAGTTGGATGCTCAGGTAGCAAAAAGTTCAGATACCAATGTGTACAAGAAGGTGCTTAAGTTTGTAAGAGAGAACTTTTGGCAACAGGTCACACATTAACTGGTGCATTGATTTTTGAAGCCACTATTTTTTATCACAAAAGAGAGCAGCATTACTTCTAAGTTAGTTACCACTGCTCTGGATAACACCATTGCAGACATCATACAACATGGCAATTTTTTTTCTCTTTTACACCAATTTTACAATAAGCTAAGTTCTCTGACTTTAATGGAATTACAGGCAGTCCCCGGGATACGTACAAGATAGGGACTGTAGGTTTGTTCTTAAGTTGAATCTGTATGTAAGTCGGAACTGGCGTCCAGATACAGCAGCTGCTGAAACTGACCAGCGGCTGACTACAGGAAGCCCAAGGCAGAGTTGCTCTGCCCAGGGCTTCCTGGAATCAGCCTCTGATCAGTTTCAACAGACTGAATCTGGACGCCAGTTCCGACTTACATACAGATTCAACTTAACAACCCCAGGCGTCCCCAAGTCAGCTGCTGCTGAAACTGATCAGCAGCTGATTCTCAACAAAGCTGGGGCTGCAGCAGGCAGGGAGCCCAGCCTGACTTGAGGGTGCTGCAGCCTGCTGGCCAAGAGACACATAGGTAAACTCCTCCCAGCCAGCAGCTGCCTCTGGCACCCCTACCCATCCTGCACTCCGACTCCCTCTCCAAGATCACCATCCAAACCCTCTGCACTCCCTGCCCCAGGTGACAGGGACCCTGCACCTCCTCCTACATACTTCCCCCAGGCCAGAATCCTCTCCTGCACCCACACTCACTCCTTGACTCTACACCCCAAACCCCTCACCCAGATCACAGCCCCCTCCTCCACCCAAATACCTTCTCAGACCCCACGCCATCTCCTGCACCCTAATCCCTTACCCTGTGCACCCTTCTTCACCCACCCTCCAACCCAGACATCACACGCCCTCCACAGAAAAGTGCAGACTTTGACCATTTACCAAAATCTTGGAGGGGCCCCCCACCAAAAATTATTGCCCCCTCCTTCCCTGGTCTGCTGGAGACATGGAGCAAAGCCGCGGAGCACGCGGGCAGCGGACAGCCCAGACGTGCCGCGGCTGTCCTGCTGCCGGCGTCCTCAGAGGCTTTGCTCCCCGTCTCAGCAGACCAGGGAGACGGGCAGTAAACCCCGTTCGTAACTGCGGATCCGACATAAGTCGGATCCACGTAACTCTGGGACTGCCTGTATTCTAAACTGGCACTGATATATGTGAAAGCAAAACTAGGTTCAAAGTGAGGTTCTACATCAAGGAGTGAATCAGGAGTGACACCACTGAAGTCAACAGAATTATACCAGTATAAACACAGGAAAAAATGAGAAGTGAGTCATTCCCAAAAGGTTACAGTTGCACAAAACTAGTGCAGACTATAGACTGTTCAGAAGTATGGATGGAAAAACTTGAAAATACTGAGAAGTTTAAACTGGATAATAACCAAAAGTTAAGGAGCCATATTCGGCTTTTAGAATCAACACACCTTCTGGGGGAGGTGTACTGTCCCATCAAGCGGCACTGAGACCACTTAGGCTACATCTAGATTACATAGCCTCTGTCGAAAGAGGGATGTAAATGAGGCACTTCAAAAGTGCAAATGAAGTGGAGATTTAAATATCCTGTGCTTCATTTGCATAATCACATCCTGTGCCATTTTGAAAGTAAAATCGCAGTCTAGACGCAGTTCTTTCGAAAACAGCAAACTTTTTTGAAAGATACTGTAAACCACAAAAAATGAGGGTTACAGGATCTTACAAAATGGGCCAATTCTGTCAAAAGATCCCCGTCTTGACCACGATTTTTTTTTTGTAAAGTGGCTTTTCGAAAAAAAGCCACGGCCGCCATTATGTAAATGAAGTGCAGGAAATTCAAATCCCGCCTTCATTTACAATTTTGATATGTCTAATTTACATCCCTTTATCAAAAAAGGGATGTAGTTTAGACATACCCATAGAGAGAATAATGAGCCTGCTCTAAAGCCTAAGCTAATGAAGAGCTGGCTTTTAGCTCATGCCATAGAGGCTCACGCACTAAGCTCCAGAGGTTTTAAAGGTCCTGTTCCACCTGCTGGTGTTACACATTTTTATGCTTTCAATATGACTTACTAAAAATATTAAATTTGATTGGTGGCCATGAAGACTGAAAAGCCTAAAGAATGGCACCCAAAATGTATATTGAACCACTCTGGGCAAAACTTAATTATGAGCTGGGAGGATACCTGCAACAATCCAGCTTGATGGTGTTTGGATTCTTTGCGGTAAAAGAGCTTTCTGAGACCTGCACGAAGCGCTGCTTAACCATCCCACTTTCAGTTCACAAACAATGAAATTCCAGCAGGAAGCTTGGCTTTTAAAGTGGTGACCTGAATCAATGGTTTCCAGACAGTTGTACCAAAACCTGGACAAGGGATTGTGTGTTTTAAAGCAGCACCCCAGTCAAGATGAGGATGCCTAAATTATTTGTAATCCAAAATAGTCTAGTAAAAGTTTTGTTAAACCCATTGTTAGTAGAAGGAAAAATTGGTATGGATTGGACGTCGCTAAAGGCATCTAAAATGGGATATATTGCTAGTGAGCATGGTAGGAGTCCACACTGCATGGTCTCATTCCTTTTTGGTTTGCTTGTGGGCAAAGTAGGAGTTTACACTGCATGCTCTCATGTCCCTTTGCTGTTTTCCCCTCTCCCAGCACAGCAGATGTTAACCCTGCACATTGCTATTACTTTCTCCCTTTAACCGCTTTGCTGTTTTGAGTTATTAGATAGCACAGCAGTTCAGCTTGTATGCTACTGTCTTTCTCTCAGCACACAAGGAATTAACCCTGTATGCTGCTATCCCTGTGTGGAGTTTCTATGAGGCAGGGCAGGAATTCATAATGTCTGCTGTTAGATCCCTCACTGCTCTGATTGTTTGTAAAGCACTGCAAGAGTTCGCCCTGTGTGTGGTTATTCCTCTTGCTGGTCTGCTTCATATATATGTTGTGTCTTTAAAATAAGGGTCCATTTTGTGTAAAAAAAAAAAAAAAAACCTACAGAAAAGTGGATGCTACATGTGAAGTTTTCATGTGATCTGTGTCAGGAATTTTGTAATAGTCAAAAATATTTGGAGAAATTGGTTTTAAAGCAGGAATTCAAATACTATTGATGTAGAGATAATAAAAAAATAAGCTAAACTCCCTAACAGAATTGCAAGACAGAGTCATTCAGAAGCAGGTACGTGCCAATGTGGATTTGGTCTAGATGAGTTGGGAAAACCTGAAAGTTACATAGAATATGTGGCAGTGGCTAAACATTTCCACCTGGCTGCTATATAGGATACAGATGGAATTAGGAGTAAAACTGCAATGAACTGAAATGCAAATCTCAGCTTAACAACACTGGAACATAAAATGTATTAAATAATATCTGGAAATATTTTATTAGCACATATATTAAAACAAGAATAAAATAATTGTTTAACACATATAGATATGTTTGGATGCAATATGTCTTTAGCTTGGTTACGCTGGATTTATTAATAGGGGTGCATCTACACCACAGGGTTTAACTCAAAATAAGCTACAAAAATTCAACTACGTCAATTGCATAGCTTATTTCAAAACAGCTTATTTCTAAATAGAGCACTCTTCCTCCAACTTCCCTTACTCCTTGTACAATGAGGGTTACAGGAGTCAGAGTAAGAAGTCCTCCAGCTTGACAGTATTTCAACATTATGTCGAAATAATTGCCTGCTATGTAGACGCAGATTAAGTTATTTCAAAATAATGTTGCTGTGTAGAAGTACCCTAGGTGATATTGTTGTTAAAATTGCTCACCAGCAGTCTGTGAAGACAGAGCTATGGAAGATAAGCCCATTCCCATATTGACCATTAGATTTTTTTGGCTCTTCTCTATCAGAGAGAAGAAACACTTAGGGTGGTTAACCAAGCAAGACAATGAAAGCATTCTTCATTGGTATGATGTGTTTAAGGAGTGGTCACCTACTTGGTCCACAGATCTAAATATAGCTTTCCATCCTAACATTGTTTTATTAGTAATCTTAACTGTTATGTTTGCTCCAACACTCTGTATGTGCTATTGGATGAAAAGGATGTATTCCAAACTGAAACCACAAACTGAAATTATGACTCAATACATAGCTATGAAGCAAATACAGAAAATTTTAAATAGTGACCACTCAAGAATTGTTCTTGAGAGGTCAAAAGGGGGACAATGTAGCTAAATCTTTGTATGAGTTATTTTATAATGTCTCAAGGTTTTTTTTATCTTTGTATTAAGTCTTATCATAAGATAGAAATTTTGTAGTAAGTCTTTTTATAATATTATAGACTTTAGGAATAATCAAAGTAAAGCTGTCATGGGATAAGAGGACAGGTCCTCTAATGCAATAACAAATGGTTAAAAGATAAGAAATAAAGGATAGAAATAGTTCTCAGAATGGAAAGAGGTAACTAGTTGTATTTCTCCAGGGGCTGTTCTGGGACCAATCCTAGTCAACATATTAATAAATTATCTGGAAAATGGGGTAATCAGTGAGATGCCAAAATTGCAGACAATACAAAACTACTCAAGATAGTTAAGTCCCAGGCAGACTGCAAAGAGTTTCAAAAGGACCTCACAAAACTGGGTGACCGGGAAACAAAATTCAAAATAATGCTCATTGGAAAACATAATCCCAACTATATATATACATATATAATGATGGATTCTACATTTCTAAGATTTCTTGGGGGTAATTATGGATAATTCTCTGAAAACATCAACTCACTGTGCAGTCATAGTCAAAAACACGAACAGAATGTTGGAATCATTCAGAACAGAATATATAATAAAATATAAAATACTATAATGCCTCTATATAAACCCATGGTACACCAACTCCTTAAATACTGCATTCAGGCATGGGTGCCTCATCTTAAAAAAAAAAGGTTTGAGGTTTAAAACAACTAACGAAAGTATTTTTCCCCATACAATGCTCAGTCAACCTGTACAACTCCTTACAGAGGCTGTTGTGAAGGCCAAGGCTCAAACAGGGTCTGAAAAAGAACTAGATAAGTTCATGGAGGACAGGTCCATCAATGGCTATTAGCCAGGGTGGACAGGGATAGTATCCATAACCTGTGTTTGCTAGAACCTGGGAATGGGTGACAGGGGATGGATCACTTGATGATTACCTGTTCTGTTCATTCCCTCTGGGGCACTTGACATTGGCCACTGCCAGAAGACTGGATACTGGGTTAGATGGACCTTTGATTTAACCCAGTATATATGTTATATTCTTATTTTAAAACTAAGCAAAAAACACAACTGGACAAAAACAGTTATATTCCCCACCCACTGAAAACAGACTATGTTAGTCCAAATTTGGGAAAGGAAAAGGAAGCAATAAATTTTGCTTTAACTCACCACATGTTTTAATTGCACAGAACTCCCACGGGGTGTTAGGGTCAAGAGTGTAGCACCATGGTCTCGGCTTGCCATCGGGATTGCGGCAGTAATTATCATCAAAGCCTTTGTCAGGATATCTATAAACCACACCAACAAATGCGTTCAGCACGTCTGGCTGGCAACGCTGCAGTCGTGCACAAGATGTGTAAGGAACCAATTCCGCAGAGACTATTTTGGGATAGTGTCTGCTGGCTTGGGACCTTATTCTGGGGACTACCCTCTATTATCATAGAGGGAAATGAGACTGAAACCAGCTAGGCAGCACTGAGCAAAATCAAGCTCTTTGGGGAAGGGGACTTTCAGCAATGGTAGGATACCAGCTGGGGTAACTCATCCAATTACTTCACTCCAATAGAGTGTGACCATCGGTCGACAGACACACCAGCCTGATATTTCTTTTCCAAACAGCCCAATTAAGTATGGATTATATAAGCAATGCCTGGCATGCCAGACTCATTAAGAAAACAGGTTCTCTAGTACAACAACCCTGGGTTCAAACTGGAAGCTATTTTCAATTGCTTTGTTACTAATGATAGCTCCATTTTGGTAACACAGCTTGTTTTAGGTCATGCCCTCATTTCCAGCATTGCAAAAAATATTTAAAACTTCCCTCTCCTTTTATCTTGTCATGTTTTGAGACTGTTGCATTATTTTAATTGTTTCCATATTCGTCTTGCCACTATTAATCAGATGAGTGGGGGGACATAATAAGGAGACTTACTTTATCTAAATGGTTATACTAGCAGCCAGAAATCAATACAGAGATACAATTAAACAAATGTGGGGATAAAAAATAAAGAGAGAGAGAGGGAGAGGGAGATGAGGATAATAAGTAAAATGTATTGATTATCAATAAAGGCAAAATGCTTTGTTTTTGCCAATTTTTTTGCTACATGTGGAAAAGAGAACAAAAAGTTAGGCTTGCCCAGGGGACAACTGTGAAAATTTATTAAAGAAGACAAAAATGTTAACTACCTATGAACCCAAGACCTTCTGGAACTGCAAGCAGATGTGCTTTTCATGGGCAGAGGAACGTGTGATTTTTAAAAAGTGTGCTGATTGGGGTTTTCTACCTACCCTACACTCATCCCAAGGACTGTTTGTACATTTGGAGTTCAATCCTGCCTCCCTGGGACAAGGTACCTTCCCTCTGTTACAGCAAGGTTTGAAAGGTGGGGTAGGTGGACAGTCAAAAGACTGTTCAACCATTACTATCATTGTGCCTTCATGAATGGGGAGCAGAAAGGGCTGTGGCAGCATGAGAGCCCTTAATCAGTACAGTAAAACTCCAGTGATCCGGCATCCAATGATCCAGCACTCCCGATGGTCCGGCACCATCTGGAACCCGGAAGTTCTCTGGGCAGCCGGACAATTGGAGCTGTTCTGCCCCCGGCTTTCCCAATTCAGCTGCTGATGAAACTGACCAGTGGCTGACTCGGGGAAGCCGGGGGCAGAGCAGCTGGGGTGCTGCCGGGTTGGTCCCATAGCGTCGCACCTCGGCGCTGCGGGACCAACCCGTTAGCACCCCAGCTGCTCTGCCCCAGACTTCCTCAAGTCAGTCACTGCTGAAACTGACCAGCGGCTGACTTGGGAAAGCTGGGGGCAGAGCAGCTCCAATTGTCCAGCTGCCCGGAGCACTTCTGGGTTCCAGATGGTGCCGGACCATCAGGAGTGCC